GTCGTGCGTTCGTACTCGTGGCCAAGGTGCCACATCTCCTTGGCTGCTTCAGGACGCTTTGCGCTTGTCTGCACAGCTGAAAACTGCAGGCATTCCAGTCGTAGCTTTTTCTTTCTGGCTCGAGAGCATCTCCCCGCGTGTGCGGGACAGCGCCATATCCAAGGCCGTTTGAAGCTTCTTTCTTTCCTTGTCGTTTTGCTTTGCTTTGACAGGCGATGGCTCTTAATCGACGACCGGACGATTGGGCAGAGGTTCCTGCGTCGGCTCCTGAGGCGAGCTACCGTTCCGCACTCTGTCAGGTCCGACATCGATACGCACTTTGGATCCGAGCCCATCTTCAGCCCGGCATAGACATGGTGGAGCTCAACCGCAAGGCCAGGCTTTTGCTCCGGAACCTCGTTCCTGTGCCACGACTCAGGGCTTCCACGAGGCTACCGATCCGGCCCTCCGCAAGCTTTTTCTATGTCGTCTCAGGCATCGCAGCAGTCACTTCCTCTTGTCCCGGGCGCGTCCTCGCATTGCCAGGTACTGGATCGACAAGCATCGAGAACTCGACCTGGCGCAGTTCGGCCGGCGAAACAGGTCCTTCTTAGCTGTGTCTCTGTCTTTCTGTTTCTGACTCTCTTTGCTCTCTGCTCCTTTTTCGCTCTGTCCTTTTCCGTCTTCTCTTGCCTTTCTTCTAACTCTCTGCATCTGCCTTCTTCCGGAGAGCTGCCAGGCGGTCACACCAGTGAGTCGGGCTTCTGAGACGGCGACAGCTGGCATCCAAAAAAAGAATGCCATGTTTCGGCAAGGTTGATAGTCCAACGCTTGTGGTCGTGCCCCTGTGTGATCCTGTGATTTCTGTTTGGGCCGTAGACAAATTCTAACAATTTAGCTGTGAGGAGCCTCTGTGCTCTCCGTCACTCCGCCATGGCACCAAAGGCGCGGCTGCCCGATGCGGCCACCGCCTTTCAAGACACGAATCGCGCCCTGAAGATCCGGAAGCATTGGCTGCACTTGATCTTGACCGGAGAGAAAGTCATAGAAGTACGAGGGAGCAAATGCGCTCACCTCGGAAGAGTGACTCTGATGGAGACCGGCTCTCTCTTGCTTCGTGCTCGAGTGACGATCACGGAGTCTCACCGTATGACGGACGCAGAGATCCAGGAACATCACGAAGCAGTTTCGGTAACTCGGTTGCATACACGTGGCACAAGCTGTGAGTGATAGGACTAGCTTGCACTTGTCGTTCTCAGGCACTGAACTATTCCCAGTACTGGGCTTGGTCTCTGGCCGATGTGGAAGTTTTGCAGCCACCGATTGCGGTGCCGTCCATCGTCGCCCGCGGCTCCGTGACTTGGATGCGCCGCGAGCGCTGGGAAGCTTGGGACGCAGGACAACTGGGGGAGCAGACGCTGCCGCAATATTTCCATAGATCTGGACGGTCGCGAAGCCCACCACCTGCGACTGCGGACGTGGAGAACATCGACTGAGGGCTGTTCTTTACACGTCTCTTGTCCATCCGTTTGGGTCCGTACCTGGCGGCCAAGATCCTTCGGCCTGCCGGTAGTCCCCTGAGGCGCGATCTTGCAAGACGCTGCGAAAGCAGCATAGGTGCCGAGAGACGGTTTTGGAGTCTGGCGCGACAGCTGGGTGGAAAAAAACGCTGACAGCCAGAGCGTAGACGCCGACGTCTGCCTGCTGCAGTTGCATTAATGTGACTAGTTCTGTTGTCTGTAACCCAGTTTGTGGCGCAGCTCGTGGAAGACCACAACAGATTACTCTGTAGCCTTCTAGCTTTGTTGACGCTCATGGCTCCAAAAAGGCGCGGCGGCAAGGAGTCCAAGGTCGAGCTCTACAATCACTTGGCCAAGAACCTTCTGCGCCCGTTCCCAGATGCGGCTGGGAACTTTTTGTGGCTGAAGCGATCTGACAAAGCTCAACGCGAGCAGGATATGCTCAAGCCTGCCTACTTGGCGAAAACTCGCGCTGTTGAGAACTGCGAGGCTTTGTCTCGGATGTCCACCTACTTGTCGGAGGAGGGTGCAACCATCAGCAACGCCGCCAACTACCTGGGAAATTCACCGACCGTTGAAAAGCTGGGTCTGGACTTCTTCCAGACACTCGGAAGCCCTTCGGGGCAGAAGTTCGTGAAAGCCTGCGCCTTCTTCGACAAGGACGATTCATCCAGCAAAGACGCAGGCAGCGTGGACGGCCACGTCGACGCGTACATCGACTTCCTTTCGAGCGATGGTGACACCAAGATCAAGAAGGCCCGCCGCATGGTCTTGGCCGGCGCTCGCGCCTATACCTGTGTGGAATGAGCTTTCTCGAGCAGGCGGCACTGGTGCGCCATCCAGAAATTTGGGCCCCGAAAGTCGTGGTGGAAACGCAGCAAGCTTCCGCGCGAGAGTTTCGCAAGAAGCCCACTTGCAAGCGATTGCGTCAAGTGCTCAAGGACAGTGCATTGAGCCTGTTGGAGGCCGTCGAAGCGCAGAGCAAGCGCAAGAAGCGCGCTGCTCTCGAGGCATCCTCACACGACAGCCCAGTCTCGTCCTCGTCCAAGGCTAGTGGCTCTTCGGACCTTGTCAAGAAGAAAGAGAAGAAGTCCGCCAAGAAAAGGCCGCCGGTGTCCTCTGACAGCAGCAGCGAGAATCCCAGCAGTCCGTCCAACAAGAAGAGGAAGACCAAAGATGAGAAAAAGGATAAGAAGCAGGACAAGAAGGACAAGACTTCCGTGGAGAAGAAGGACAAGCGACGCAATGAGAAGGACAAGAAAAAGCGGCGCGAAATATCCGCCTCGCCCGCGGCACCGTCGGCACCCAAGCCGAGCAAGCTGTCCAATTTGGCGGACTCGGCGTCGGAGGACTTCCTCGCCGATCAGACCGCCGCCTTGATGACTTGGCAGCTGTCGGAAATCCAGTCAGCTGCTGGCGAGTGGGAGGCTCGGAAGCAAGACTTTCTTGGGAACGTGATGACGTCGGAAGAGTTCGAGAAGTACCTCCACCTGATCCCCGAGGCCGTGCGCCAGGCGTTTCAGCTGCAGATCACGAAGCTGCCCAAGGAGCAGAAGCGCGAAGGGGTGATGCAGCGTATCCTTGCAATCATCGAAGCCGGCAATACGTTTTGGGCTGCTCAACAAGTGGTGCCTACATCACCTGCGGATGGTCATGTGGAACAGATCGACTGAGGGCTGTCCCCTGCGGGGCCTTTCCTGATCTTGCAAGACATTGCGACAACAGCATAGTTGCTCGACGACGGTTTTTGAGTCTGGCGCGCAGCTGGGTTGAAAAAAACGCTCACAGCCAGAGCGTCGACACCGACGTCTGCCTGTTGCGTTTGCACGTGCGCACAGCTCTGTGCTAAGAACATGTTCTCTAGCCGGCTAGCTATAGTTCAGCATGGACTGGGTACTGCTTTTGCAGTGAAAGGCCTGCCTTTACCGGCGGCGTCTGTGGCTTGAGCTTGAGAAGCCATTGCGTCGAGCCCGGGCAATGGCTGCTGCTGCTGCCTCCGCGGCCATCCTAGCTAGGCAGGGTGATCTCGCCTGCATCTTCTTAAGCTGTTGCTGCATCCATGAGTTGTTGCATGCTTGCTTGTCAAGCGACTCCTAGCCGTGGACTTGTGTTCGAGCCACTCGTGGTTGACGTAGGAGCAGTGTGCCATGCCCCGCCTGTGCGCCGGCTCTGCAGATGGGCGAGCTTGTAGCTTTTCTGCCGTGGAAGGTCGCAGGGCCCGAGTGGGAGGGAGCTACGAGCGTTGCGTCTTCTGCGACCCCGACCGCATGGAGACTTCGTGCCTACGCCCTGGAGGTCGCAGTGACATCGCGCGCCTTCTGCGAAGCTTTGCTCCAGATATTCGACAGAGAGCTTTGCAACAGGTGCCCCAGGAGTTTCGTGCTTACTTTGATCAGGAGGAGGACAGATTGCCGCGAAACTGCCCGGGACGGGGGGGCGAAGCTTGCGTCTTTGCCAGTGTTGCACACGGTGGACCGGTTCAACTACACGGACGCCGGGCCCGATGCGAGTTCTGCGACGAAGACTCTCTCTTGCAATGCTGTGCCGACGACCGCGGTCTGCGACAGTTGGGACACAAACTCAGACGGATGAACCCGGCCTCGAGGGACAAGGCGCTTGAGCGCATTCCGGTTGAACATCACCCAACCTTGCGGCAGCTGACGACACCTACGGCTGCCCACGTTCGCCAGTGCTGGGCGGAAGCTCTGAAAGAAAGGGTTGCTGTGGCTCGCAAGGGTGACACTGAGGTCTTTGCGAAATACAGGGAGAAAGTGCTCGCAGACCGAGCCCGAGCACGCCGGCAGCTCGCGGCCCCCGACACACCGGAGGAATCTCACGCAAGCCGCGAAAGACTTCGCAGATATCCCGAGCAAGTCGACAATGACACGTCCCTCGCCCCGGCCAAGGTCTCTGACTTGGCTCGCCACTTCGAGCGATGGTGCGAGTACAACTCCTGGACTATATGCTCGGGCTGCTCTTTATTAGCTCCTCGCGACCTGAACGAGCAGACGCTGACCAAGAACGCCTCTGTGCTATGCCCGGCAGCAGCTTGCGTGCACTGTTCAGGCTCTCGCCCGGGTGCAGTGTCACAGAAGCCAGACGTGCCGGAGGCGTTGCGCGATCTCTCTGAAGCGGTGCGTGCTGCTCTGGTTCCTCTGGAAATAGACGTCGGGCCCGTGGTCCGTGCTCAGAATCAAGGTGGGTATGCCACGGGCTACCGCCAGCACCGCACCATGATGCGCTTCCGCTGGAAGCCACAGCGTGTGCAAGCAGCCGTGGAGGAGTTGCCCCGCGCTGAGCGACGCGTAGCCAGAGCCGCCTTCCGCTACCTCATGTCTCAGGAGGCCGACTGCGCCTACCACCTCTTCGTCACCGAACACGACGTCTACCTGGCCGAGAATCCCGAAGCCGACGAGCGCCAGCGCCGGCGCCGACTGCAGTTCTTGGAGCGCACCGGGCTGGAATGCGCGCTGTGGCCCTGGCTCTTCTGGAAAACCGACATGACGTTCACCTACGAACGGGCCACCGACCCACGCAGGCTAGCGCGGCAGAGCACCGAGACTTTGGAAGGCGTGCTGCAAGGCCATGCACGCAAGCGGCAGCGCGTTCGCCCCGGCGGTGGGATCGACGAGGCCAGCTCCGACGAAGAAGACGGAGAGGCCGAGGATACCTTGCTGCGGCACTCGGTGAAGCGGCGCTTCCAGCGCCTCGCCCTAAGCCCGCTGCTGGATTACGGCTCGGAGTTCCACATCCTGCAGTTCGTCTTCGATCTCCATTTGTGGTCAGATCTTGGCTTGAAAAAGAATCTAGGCTCCGGGGTACCAATGCGAGTCATGATGAAGGGCAACAGTTTCAGCCCTCTGTATTGGAAAGAGGTCCATTTCACGCTGCTGGATGCCGTGCGCCAGCTGGGATACCCGAAGCTCTTCTTCACGCTGGCTCCGTATGAGTGGAGCTTTCCGTATCATGTTGCCGTGCGAGACGCCATGGCCAAGCAACTTCGCGCACGCCTGGAGTTGCCGGTGCTGGAAACTCTCCACATTACGCACGTCCTTCTCCAGACGGTGCGGGGTCTCTGCGTGGGCAGCACCGCTAGCCGGCCGCCATGGAGATCGGAACTCTTTCAAGTACTCGACGAGCACGGCAAGAAGAAGCGCGTCCACTCCTTTACACGCCTCGAGTTCCAAGACGGCCATCGCAAACCTGCGACTCAGCAGTACCACGGGTCTGGACGCGTCCACGTGCACGCACTCATCTTCGTGGACGACGTCGACGTGCCGCAGCTCCACCTGGAGACGAAGCTTGCGGCAACCCTTCCAGCCGATCCGGACTTGCGAGGCTATGTCCGCGGCTCGCAATTGGACCGGGGGGGCAGGAGTGGCTGGCCCGTGTTTGCTGGCGCTTCCTGCTACGACGAGCACGACGGCCTCCGCTTGCATCACACTCCCGACGACAAGGCTTTGGGTCTACGCGCATTCTGCACCGACATCATGGATGTCCTTAAGTGCCACCAGGACTGGCAATTCTCCGACGATGCCGGCGTCTTGCGAGCATATGTCACCAAGTACGTTTCGAAGTTCTCCGACTCCGCGTCCGACGAATGGTTGAACGACTTTGCGGACGCCACGTCCATCGCTGCGACGGTGCTGATGCGGTACAAGCCCCTCGAGCCCGAGATGATCTTGCAACTCTTCGGCCACCGCTTCCGCCAGTGGCACGTCACGACTCTCTCCCGCGGCAAGCGCTATTTTCAAGTGCCCTGGCCGGAGAAGGCCTCTGCACACAAGCCCAAGGAGATCGTAGCTTACGAAATGGCTTCCTGGGCCAGGGACCGAATCAGCCTTCTGGACTTTCTCCGGAAGACCAACGCCCGAGGCGAGATCATGGCGTACATCAAGCAAGAGTACCGAAAGCAGAATGCCGCGGAAAGCTTGGAAGATTTCGCTGCTGCTTTCCGCGTTCGGGGCCAGAAGTTG